TTATTTTCCTACCATAATTATTTCTCGAGATATTTGAAAATAAATGAGGTGCATTTTGTCAAAAATATACCATTTTTCCGCGCTTTAAACGGCTATATCTTAGCGTGTAAACATTATTGGAAGGTAAAATTTCATTTTTTTCTTATAGTATATACTACCAGTATACAAAATTTAAGAAAAATTGAAGGGGGTCGGGTTGAAACCTTGGTTGATTTGATATGGAATTCACCATATATAAAAAGGGAAATATACATAAAAAAATTATTTTCTTCAAAATTAGAAATGATAGATCCATATTGGGTATTCAACATTCAATTTATAAAATATCGGAAAAATAAAATTAGGAACTCTACGCATGAACGAGATAAAAAGAACCACACACAACAAGAATATCTTTTTTTTTAAAAAATGAAGGTTCTAGATGTTTTTAACAGAATATGAAAATAAGAATTGATGCAAATTTACAAGATAACCACCGATAAATGTAGCAAATATATGATTAAATTATATTGAGCAATTAATACATCACGATGAAGATGATAGCCTTATCGATTATTTAAAGAAAGAAATAAAGAAAGAAAGAAAGAAAGAAAGAAAGAAAGAAAGAAAGAAAGAAAGAAAGAAAGAAAGAAAGGAAAGAAAGAAAGAAAGAATAACTCAATATTTTAGCCAGAAAAATATATCTTAGAGCCACCGGGATTTCGATAATATGCCTAAATCTTTGTTCCTTCTATGAACAAAATCCTCAGGCTTGCGCAATATTTTTCTGGATAAGATACTGAGTTAGCCGTATTTTTAGAAATCGGCTCAAAACGGGCCGTTTAACAACACTACTTGGTACCGTTACCCCCAAAAAACCGATTTGGAAAAAAAAAATGTTCAATCTGGGAAATGGCCTAATACCAGATCCGTATTTATGGCATTATATGTGCCTCACAACAACACATTTCGATTTAACGATCAACGAATCGCGTTAAAAATTCGAACGGAATTGTCATTATAAATAACGCAAGAAACATGTCGCAAAAGAAAAATAGGAAATCGAACATCAATGGCTATTCTGCCCCAAATTAAATTTAAAAAAAAAATATGGAAACTCAATCTATTTAATGTGGGAGAGATTGCTCCCTAGTGATGATCACGAAAAATATTTCATCAGAGAATGAATGGAAAAAATAATTAGCGATATATTATGAGCTTTATATTCAGCTTATATTTCTGACAAAATATATACAAAGTGAACAAGTGACAATGGGGAGATTTTTATGCCTCGTGGATCAAATGTATCACGCAAAACGAGCAAAGTAGACATTCCATTTGCCAGACTTTTATTTTCAGCACGAGAAAAGCAACGAGAAATAAATTTAAATAAAAAATAACGTATTTTGCTCAGTTACATATCTCGACCTAAGATAACAATGTATTTTTAACATTTGAAGAGATAGAGATTACCAAAAAAAACATCTTTCTAAAACTTGGAACTTTATACAAAATTTAAATAATCAGAATATTGAAATTCTAGATACGTGTTCGCATTCGAAAGATAATTTAGATGATGGTTTTGAAGATTTATTAGAGTCGCATGAAAGCATTAATAAGTACGATTCTCAGGGCATATAAAATTATAATAAATGTATAGAAGTAGAATATATAATTCGGTCATTTGAAAATATAGAGAGAACAGAAAAAGATACTAATCTTTTGAATTATTGGGAGAATGTAAAGAATAGTATGCCAGAACTTTATACGTTAGCTATAACTGTGCTAGCAGTTCCAGCTATGCAGGTATCCGTAGAAAGAGCATTTTCTAGCCTTAAATTTATACTCTCTGAGCAGATTAAATCCTGAAATATTAGAAACCATTTTAGTTGTCCTTTCTAATTCCCTTTTTAAACATTAACAGTATAAATTTCATTAAAATTTATGCATTATTTATATTTATTTGTGAAATAAAAAAAACTAATTTGTCTAATTTTACTAAATTTAAAAAAAAAATATCTATTAGATTATAATAGTTTTATTAAATAAGAAATTATAAAAATATAAATTAAAGATTTTTCTCTAAGATTAATATATTTGGTTTATGATTAATTTTTTTTTAAAATCTAATTTATAAAAACCGGGATAAACCGAAAAAAACCGTCATAACTTATAAACCGAACCGAACCGAACCGATAAGAATTTTTTCAAAAAAAACCGAAATGGAACAAAACCTTTTTAAATTTTAAACTATAATCCAAAACGAACTGAACCTCTATATCTAACGGTTCGAAATCCTGGTTTTGTGTCTAATAAAATGAGTATTTCTCCTTATAGATTATGAACGGTAACCCTTATCTTTTAATACCTGAACCGCGTAGTTTATTAAAAAAAGCTAACAGATAATTGTTGGTTAATTCACATTGCTCAGTAGCTCTAAGTATCTTTTAAATTTTAGCACATTTAGTAGGTTTGATGTTAGATAAAATGAGTATTTCTCCTCATCAAATATAAACACGGATATCTTTGTAGAACCTGAACAGCGTTGTTTTCGTTTTGTAAAATCTAAAATAAACTTATTGACTACTTCGGTAGATTTTACCTAATGTAATAAGTTTGATTTCTAATAAAATGTGTATTTCTCCCCATATAATATAAACACTACTCATCTTTGTAGAACCTGAACCACAAAGTTTAGTGAAATCAAGTTATAATTAAAGGGGAAACGTTCAATTTGAATAATTTAAATATAAGGGAAAATATCGTCTTTATTTAACATATTTATCAAGAATGAAATAAAATGAATAAATTTTTCCCTGTAAATATCAAAAATAATCATTCTTTATATATCTCATAAATCAATTGTTTCCAATCACGTTATACAATTAACAACATTTAATATATTATTACAATCTAAATATATCTTTTTTTTCGCCTTAAGTGAAACCAGTGTCTACATAAGCGGGGGGGGGGGGGGGTAGGAACAGTTTGCATCCTAATATCTATAAAGGGGTAGGTGGTAGGGGGTAGGCATTTTGGGGGTTAGGCTATAATAATCTAGAAAATTTTCCATTACATTTTTAAATTATCTATGGATAACATTTTGGTATTTTTAGGGGGGTGGATATATATTTTTGAGGGGGGTTTGCATCCAGTAAATATACTGTCATGTAGACGTTGAGTGAAACATTTGTCAAAAAGTAATATTAAACGTAAATGTAATTGAAAACACCACTTAAAATACATAATGTAAGTTGTATCATACAACATGCACCACTTACAAAAAAATATATATATATATATAATATGTATTGACAATAATATAATAACAAGAATTAAAAATTTGTATAACGAGGTAAGTATGATACATATATAATCAAAAATTTAGAATAAGATATTTGGAAGAAATAGTTAAATAACAATGATTAGTATATAAACAAATCAAATAAATTGGGAGGGGAGTGGGGAGGGGTCAAACTCGCAAAACAATATAGTATTTTTTTCGTAATTATACCCTTGACTTAGATATATATAAGAAGAGTATAATTTACACTATAATTGTGCTAGTAGTTATCCATAATAGTTTTTTTTAAAAATATTTATATAAATTAAACTGTATATGGTTAATAGGGATGGCCAACCTAGATATAGCATATAGTTTTTTTTCGTAGTTATACCCTTGACTTAGTTCTATAAGAAAGGTATAACTTACACTATATAAATTGGAATAATATAATAATAATAACCAATACTGGTTTTAATTTAATTATTATATTACCACATTCTAGAAATGGTATTACTTTAAATACTAATCCTTGTTATTAAACAATAAAATTAAATTTACATGTTGAAAAAAAATAATTAAGGAAGTTTTGATTGTAAAACAAAAAGGTGCTTATAAAATCTTTTGCAATTATAAGAATGTAAATTTTTTTTTTATATCGATTAAATTAAATCATTCTTTTAACAACCGTCTCTTCATTTTCAGACCTATACCTAACACGCGAAGGATGTAACCAGTCTCTTTAACACGTCTCTTCAACTTCAAACCCATACCAGGCGCACATAGGTTAAGTTCAGTCTCCGCACCAGCTTCCAATAAACTGGTACCCCGTACCTCCACCATATTGAACAAGGGGAAACGTTCAATTTGAATAATTTAAATATAAGAGAAAATATCGTCTTTATTTAACGTATTTATCAAGAAAGAAATAAAATGAATAAATTTTTCCCTGTATATATCAAAAATAATCATTCTTTATATATCTCGTAAATCATTCCAATCACGTTATGCAATTAACAACCTTTAATATATTATTACAATCTAAATATATCTTTTTTTGTGAAACATTTGTCAAAAAGTAATATTAAACGTAAATGTAATTGAAAACACCACTTAAAATACATAATGTAAGCTGTATCATACAACATAAATAAAGTGAATTTAAAATCATAATAATGATTATTAATATTATTAAGTTTTTAAATCATAATTATATTATATAAAAATATTGCGTTTTCTAATTTTATGAATTGTAGAAAGCATGCTGATACATACTCCTGAAATCTCAATAATTATTAATATTCTTCAGTTTTAAATAATTATTAATATTACTAAATTTTAACTCTTAAGAATATTAATATTCCTAATTTTAAACTCTTAAGATTGATTATTAAAATTAAGTTTTTAAATCTTATCAAAATATTACATAATGTATTTCTTGTAAATTGTAGAAAAAATATTAATTTTTATAATTACATAAATAAATTATAATATTTTTTGAACCATATTTCTGAAATATCAATAATTATTAACAATTATTTATTTTCTTCAATCTAGAATTCTTAACTTGATGATAATTATAGCAGATCCTAAAATTAAACAGAAGATTTTAAATATTTAGTCATATACTAGATAAAAAAATCAAATTCTTTTAAAATTTATTTCTAATTTGCCTTTTTTTTTAGGATGATTGAGTTGAGTTTTAGATATTAACCAGGTTTACCATATATTAATCGTTAGTTAATACACTCTTTTGTACACGGTTATGAAATGTAATGGATTGGAATAAGGTTGGTGATGATTATAATAATTTAATTATGTTATTTCATTTCTATTTAGAATACTTTAAATAATTCTTTTACCTTTTTTGATTATTCTGGTCTAAATGAAAACGAAATTAATCATGTTAACACTATCTTATATCATCAATCATTAGAAATTGAACAAGAATTTGAAGTTTATATATTTAAATGTCATACATACAATAAATTAACATGCAGTTCTTACCAAATGAACAAAATAAGGACGAAAATTTAATATTTGATACTTCAAAAGATGCAGGTTTATACTTTTATGGTTAACATTAATTTAATTTATAATGCAAAATGCTTCAATTAAAAATTGATTATTAATTTACTATATAAAATTAATTTACATATAAAATTAATTTAATACACTTAATATTTATCATTAGTATCTGTTGGTTGAATTTATACAATCATTTTCAATATTTAACACAATTTTCTTATGTCTAATTAATTAATTTTTCACTCTTATATTTTGCTTAAGTTTATCAATGAATAAACTATAGAATTTATATATATTATAACATATGATTACAGATAGTCCACACTCATTTGGCTTTACATTTGTTACAGAAGATGAATGCCATTCCTTTTCACATTCAAATCAACAGTCAGTTAATGAAAGTCCTCAAATAGATTTAAATCCATCAAATGTTAAGCCCACTTATTGGTCAGGATTATTTAAAAAATCAGACAAGACTACTGAAAAACCAATAGATGCAAAACCAATGACATTGATTGACTCAGACTACCCCATTTTAAATAGTGTCAAAACCAATGGCATCTCCCCTATTCAGAACCTTAAGGTTCCAAATTCAAAAATGACAGAGAAAATTATACCAATCGAGAAAGATAATTTGATACAATCTCTTAAAGGTATTGATATATTATTTAGGTAATTAAGTAATTATGATGGAGTGAAAGAAAAAAGATTTAACAATACTGGGTTGGCTCTGAATAGGGCATACCTAAATATAAGATATTTATTCCCTTGTTATGACTTATGATGTATAATTCAGTTACCTCTTTCTTACTTATGATGAGAGTTAAGCTCACAAATATTCCAGCAAATTTCAGCTAAATAGTATTTTTAAAATATAAGCCCACCCTATAATACTAATTGAGTATATAATTTAACTTGTCCAATGAAAATAGGAATTGAATAATAGAAAGAAAAATAAACGTTTTCAATTTCTCTTGTCATGTTGTTATATTCAATATTGGACCTGATACAACTCTATTCAAATTTTTGTTCTTAAAAATTTTTTTAATTAAAACATAATGATTTATTTATCACTGTAAAGCCAAAACTTACTTTTTATAGTTAATTAATGATTTTTGGTACAATTTGATCCTTGGGGGGAAGAACTTCCTTTCACATGACCCACTATCATAAGTGGCCTTTTGAAAAAATGATTAGTGCTGACATTGTAACGATCGATAATTTATGTAGGAATTTAAATCAAATTTTTTTTTTACTTACCTTCCCATATTATAAACTCAAGCTTTTCTTTCCAACTTACCTCTTCCCCTGACCATCGCCGAAACGCGATACGAAACTCCCAGACCACTGGTAAACGCTTCCAATTGGTGCTACGTCAATTCCATTCTCCAATGCCTTCTCAGCGTGCCGCCATTCTTTACCCTCTTTTACCGTATGGGGGAACAAATATTCGACCCAAAATCCGTCATTCACAACAAGCTAATGATCGGCGATACAAAAGTGGGTGACGACGACCCCGATGGTTTACACAGTAATACCGCCGGCACCTCCATACCCGTTATCAAGGCCTTCTCCCGGTTTGTCTACCAAAATTTCGAAGCCGTACGCGAAAAAACCGGGGAAACGGGGCACAGTGGTACAAAAAAATATTTTTTTTCCTTCTAGTGGCATACAAGCTAGGATTAGATCCGGACTATGGTCCTGTTATTAAAACCACACTCATACCTGCCCGAACTTGTTTAAAATAAAATTAAATGATGGACAAACTTTATTAAAATGACGAACAGCTGATTTCAATTGATCGCTTTTCGAATTTCAATTTGAACATTACGATTGTTATTCGAGTGTTTTGTTTGATATTTCATGTCCTATTAATATTTTTTGAATTTTGGTGTAGACTACAAAATGTTTAATCCCTTTTTTTTAAAGACATGAACGGCGATAACATGTATAAAGATGGCGGCTCAGATTTGTGCAAAAAACTCCCGAAAAAGAATAATGATCCAAGCTCCACCAATCCCAGTTTTGAACCCCGACAAATCTACGATATTCTGCCTCTCTTCCAATCAGAATTTTCGGTATTTTTTTTTTACATAATTTAATTTTTTTTTAAAAACTACTCTCATAAATAAATTTTAATGCCATTTGTTAAATTTTAAAAGTATAATTATTATTTTTGATTATTTTTATTTCTTTAAACGTTACCCTATCAAAAGGGAAGGCAAGAAGACGCCGAAGAATTCTTATCTTGTGTCCTAAACTCGTTGCACGAAGAAATGAACCGAGTGCTAACTTTCGACGGTAACGGAAAAATTTCCGACGCTCTTTTTCAGCCCGACGATGCCGCCTTTTCTTGTACGGCGTCACCTGATTCGTCCGATTGGGAAACGCGAATCGGTAAACGTAAAAACAAAAGCGCGCTCATTCGGGAGGTTTTTTAAAATATTTATATATATACGCTGAAGGTCCCCAGTGGACGGGTTTTAACCCTAACCCGGCGATTGTTACGATAAAATTTCGGAACTGTTACCCACGGGTTTTTAAACCCCCTTATAGCACGCGAATAAAAACGTAAACGTATCTGTGATGTTTATATTTGAACCGTTATAATTTTTTTCGTCAAAAATTTAAAACAAAAAAAAATATGCCGTCCAAATTTAAACGAACGCATTTAAAATATATTATTCGCGTTTTGAAAACGCTAAATTCGTGCGCGCTATTGTTGATTTAAAAAAAGATGGTATCAAATAACCCCACCTATTGTATATAAATCAGTTTCGATAAATATAAAGCCCGACCTGTCCATCCTGCCTCTACAAGATTTTGAGCTATCCTCTCACCTATTATTGATGGGGTGGCCAGGTTACCCCTTTCCTTATATCGCAGGTCTCGAATGTGCGCTATAATAAATTAAAACTTGTTTTTTTTCTTCAAAAGTACAAAATGGCCCCCAGCCCGATTTTCGACATATTTGGTGGGAGCCTCTGTTCAACACTCCAACATTCTTGCTGTAAAAATTCCAACAATTATCAGCCATTTTTCGTATTACCGCTCGATATTCAAGTTTGTTTTCTTTTTACCCTATCAAAAGAAAATATATAACAATCTAAAACAAATTTAAGTGTTATCTTGATTTTGATTGGATAATATGGATTATACCCTATCAAAAGATAATATAACAACCTATAAACATCAATACGACAAAAAGTGTTATCTTAATTTTGATTGGATAATATGGATTATACTCTATTAAAAGATAGTATAACAACTTAAGCCCTAAATAAAACAAATTTAAGTATTATCTTAATTTTGATTGGACGATTGGGATTATGTTTATAAGGTATAGACCCTGGTTCAGATTGCTCCACAATCTTAAAGAAGTTTATATTTAAATGCGTTGGCTGCATTCAGATAAGATTTATTAAGGTAAAGGGACCAAGCAGCCGGCCATTTTTTGGAATCTCCAGGTGCGATATGAGCCCGTCCATTTAACCCCCACTTAATTAAAATAGCAAAGCGTCGAAATTGAAAGACCACTTTTTATTTCCATTTTAGTGGCACCGGGGCTAATTTGAACTCGGTCTTATAAAGGTTCTAGAATCTTGAGATGGATAGATAAGTTATCGGAAATCATTTATTTTTGTATGTTGCTATTTGATGGTGTCGGCTACCCAAGTAGGCTGATAGAAGTGTTCTTAAGCATAGAATAATATTCCATCTCTTTGTAGATAGAATTGACAGACCCGAATTTCGAAAAATAGTAATTTTTTTTAGGATGAATAATATTATCCTTAATAAATGGTGTCCATTTAATATAATTAGAATAAACGATCAGTTGTTTTTTATGTATTTTAATGGAAGAAATTTTTTTTTAAAAAAAAATGTTTCTCTTATGTAATTCTAATAAATTCATATGTTAAATGTTAGAACCGAATATTATGTTCTACCAACCGAACCTGAACCCGTTGAACTGATATTTGCTACGCAGTTCCCTGTAGTTCTTACATTTGTTCCGGATTGACACTCCTTAAAAAATGGAATTAGGCTTGCTAACCACTCCCCTGAATGCCAGAAATGACAGTTATATAAGTCACTCTCAAAATGTATCTATTTAAAAAAAAAATACTTTCAGGACTCCAAGATTAAAACAATTCAAGATGCCCTGCATTACACGTTCGCCAAAGAATACATCCCCGAATATCACTGCTTCAAATCTAAAAAACAAGTTTTTTAAAAAAAAATGAAATTGTTCTACCATTTAGGATGCAAGGCATATGAACCCAAATTGGGGCCTAGAACTCTATTCAGCGAAAATTTCAAGAGTATAAGCTTAATCAGAACTGATTTTTCTTAAAGAAAGGTCCGAACATCCCCCGATAATACTAGGATTCTACAGGTTTCCTGTAAATTCCTTGTTTGGTATGTGTTCACAAATTTGCCAAACAAACAATTTTAAATTTATTTTAACCCTATTTTGCGTTCGCGGCTCTCACTTTTTACGTTTCTTTTTTTTTTAAACGGATTTTTTTTTTGAAACCATTATAAAATGCGGTGGGTTTATATTCGAAAGTAAAATTTTTCGAAAAAATACGTTTTTGAATATCAAAAAATGACTTTTTCCAAGTTTCACTTATTATTCCCCCCCTCCCCCTTAAAGGTATTTAATTAAGTTATTTAAAAAAAAATAAATACACCATTTTTAAAACTTGAAATTCACCTTAAAGATGGACGCTTACAAGCTACTCCAAATTCACGAATGTCCTCGCGACGTCCTTATTTTCCAGTTCAAATGTTTCGTGTACGAAGACAACGCCTCCAAAAAATTGCTCAAAAATATCCAATTTCCTCTCACATTACATCTCGATAAAGGTAAGGGGATTTTTTTATCCTTTTTATGGCTATTTCCAGGTTTATACGGGTAGGACAGTTTTCCCACTGATTTTTCTTTCCCATTTCTGACCGTCCTGAGTAATGTTGTTGAACTGCTCGTTTTGAGCCGATTTTAGAAAAACGGCTAACTCAATATTTTATCCAGAATAATATTGCGCAAACCTGAAGATTTTGTCTGTAGAAGGAACAAAGGTTTGGACATCTATTAAACGAAATCTCGGGGCTTACTGGCAATACTTTTCTGGCTAAATAATTGATGAGATAGCCGTTTAACAACACGTCCTGAGCATCGATATTTGTAAGATTCGCGCTTCTCATATCTGTCCCTATCACATTTGTCCACCTCATCGTCAGTGTTAAGGGATTTAATCCTGAAAAAAATCTACCTCAACTTGAATGGAAATAATAATATACAAATTTCGTTTATCCTAAAAGGCGGGTACTAGCTTTATATATCAAGGGAATCTTTTAACTCCTAATATTATAATAATATGATATTTTAAAAAAAAAACCTTTTATAGATATAAATTAGCAATTTATAAGATATGTATACAATGAGGCCATCTTTTTTAGGGAAGTGCAAAATCAAAAATTATGGATTCGAAAAAGCGGGGGGGGGGGGAAGGAATGACTTATGAACTTTGAAATTACTATATTTTTTAGCCTTTTAAGCAAGGATGTGAACCCGAAGCCGGGATTAAGAATTTTAAATTTTATTTAATGGAAATTTTGATAACGAAGACTTAATCAAAACCCGTTTCCTAAAAGGGGTCCGAACCTGCCCCAGATCCATTTTACCCCGTGTTTAATGAGTTGTCCTAAAATCGGTCTTTGTTTGTTCCCCAAACAATTTTAAATTTCCTGAACCTGGATTCGGGGGTTCACACCCCCGCTTTTATGCAAATTTTTTAGTTGTAAACCTAGTAGTTTTTGTCTTCGAAAGATAGCAGCTCAAATTTGGGAGAAACTAATATAAATTAAAGCGCCTTAATGTTAACGGAATTTTCTCCGGCAAAGGCCTGCCATTACCCCAACTATACTAAATTACAGAAATAAGATGTTTATTATGAGGAAGGTACAAATATATTTGTAATCGGGATACGAAGAATTTTATGGGGAAGGTATGAGCCTTTTTTTTATATTTAAACCCGCATATATCAAAATTGGGGAAGTTGTTGTTTATTTGGTAGAGTATAATTTTATCGCTTAAAAGTGGGGTTAGATTGGAACAAAATTCACTGAATGAGATGGTTGTTCGTTCTTATGTGTTCTATTATATATATATATATAAAGATATTTTATCCGCTCAAACTCATCCGCTCACCTATCGTTTGCGCTCTATAGTGTGTCACGTGGGCACATCTATCGCCGGCGGCCATTACGTAACTTATTTCCGAATCAATGTCCCTGATTCTCCGTCAAAATATCGGAATAGTCAGAAGCCGGAAACCGACCACAAAACTCGAACAAGCAGCAATGACGCCAACAACCACTCCTCAAATAAAAACCAGAAAAATTTATTTGACGGTTCTTCAAAGGGCTCAGATAAATCGGTACCTATGCCCAATTCCCATACGAATTCGACGAATGAGCGCGAAGTTTGGTGGTTGGCCGACGACTCCAATCTCAAAAGATGTGACATAGAATCCATTCTCAAAAGATTTAATTCTTCTGGGGGAAATTTTTATAATAACAAGCATCAACAAATCTCCAGTAATTACGGCAATTCGTCAACCAAAAATGGGAACAATGAGGGCCCTTGTACACCTTATCTTCTTTTATATTCGAAATATTGAAAAATTAATCGCGTATACATATTTTGTGATACTTTTTTTTTATATATACCTTCCCCATAGTATTATTAGTATTTTTTTTTGTGGAATCATTTCAAATCATGCTATATTTCTAACTGTTTTAAAATACGATTTCTCACATGTTTTCAATAGTACCCGAATATATTTTTATTATTCAACAAATTACTTAACCTTTCCATATACACTCGCTGGATAATAAAAATTCGTCCTGAAGACAAATCATTTAAAACCAAATTTTTATAATCTTTTAATTTTCAACAGTGGGAATAACTTCCGTATTAAATTATTCGACAAACGCGAATTATTATTTTTTTGTCGAACTTTAAAATTATGTTATTTTTATATTTTTTTGTATAAACGTTTTCGCAATATATTTATCATTGACCAACATATAAAATTAAAATTTGATTATTATTATTAATTTATTTATTTGGTCAAAAGTCTTAAATGAATCGTTAAGAGTTTAAAAAAATAATATAGGAACTAACTTATTGTAGAATAGTGTGTATGTACGTACGGTTAGTAAATAAACTTTTCGCTCGAAGGGAATTCAACGTGAATAGGCCAAGCTCTTAACCACACTCGAGAGGTTCTGAATCCAGAGAATCTATAGTCTATGCCTGGTTCTCGTAGCTTTAAACCCCATTTAGTACTTCCAACTAAATTATATCGAAATATATTCCAAAATTAAAGGGGAGTGCATCTTGACCAAAAATGTCCCATCTTCCAATTTTTAGAGGCTGCCGCTTGGGGGTGTGGGGCTATAATTTTTTTCTTTCTTAGTCGTAATATATGCAATCTAGTAAAATGATTTAGAAAAATCTGAGGAGGTCCTGGTTGAAAGAAACTCATGTCTTATTACTTTCATTATAATCGTAAGCGATAATTAGATTTATATGAGAATGTCAAAACATTTTTTGCAAATTTTAATTGAAATCATATATTTATAAATTATATTCCCTCTATTCATTCACACAAAAGAAATAAACTAATCATAGAAACAACCAGACGCTTCCATTATAAATTTTAATAAATAATATACACCCCAAAAGCAGCAATAACCATAAAAAATTCATTAATTAATATTATATTAATTTAATTCTAAGGCCAACTAACGGACATTTATTAATTAAATTTTAGGATAGTTTAAATATAATTTTGGATAGCGTTGGCATTAATCTTAGATCTAATCGATTTAAATCAACCCGTATTTTGAATTAATCATTATTTTTAATCTAATCGATTTAAATCGTAACCCGATTCGCGATTTAAATCAACACGTATTTTTAATTAATCATTATTTTTAATCTAATCGATTTAAATCGTAACCCGATTCGTGATTTAAATCAACACGTATTTTGAATTAATCATTATTTTTTATTTTTAATCTAATCGATTTAAATCGTAACCCGATTCGTGATTTAAATCAACACGTATTTTGAATTAATCATTATTTTTAATCTAATCGATTTAAATCGTAACCCGATTCGTGATTTAAATCAACACGTATTTTGAATTAATCATTATTTTTTTTTTATCGGATATTTTTAATAATTTTTTCGGGTTTTATACAAATATCATTTTTGTTACAACTCATTTTAAATAATACTTAGACTTACACAGACTTTTAAGTGCGTTAAAATCCTAAAATTATTTGATAAAAATAAACTCCTATAAAAAAAATCATTAAATTAAATATATAAATTTTTGTTTTTACAAATGGTTATTTTTTTTCTAATTTTATGAAAATGAATGAAAGAAATTGAGGCTAAACTCAGAAGCTTAATTTAATTTTTTTTTAGTCTAAATGCATGACACAATACAACACTACTTTTTTAACATTTAAATTTATTCTTTTTTTTAATTATGAATTATATGCTCATATCAGTAGTGTTTTTAAAAAGTGAGATTTTGGATGGCCCTATTAAGATTATAACCAAAATGAACATGTGATCCTGCACCTAGCTGGCAGAAATGCTTGGAACATCTATTTGCCCAAATTCACGATGCTTACGTAATATTATTTTTAGCTAAAATCTTATTAAAAAAGCCATTATTAACACTTACTCATCAGAATGTATATACAATTATTGAATAAAATAGGTGAGTAATATAGTAAGTAAACAAGGAGCTTATTTGTAATTTTTAGGTATAAATTATGGTTCCATTTTGGGAACACATTGTATTTTTTTTTTATAAAAGTGTTTCTCTTATCATGGATTTGCATTTTGAATCTTCCGTGTTTCTTAGAATTATCTTTACAAAAAATTAAAATTAGTATTCTGTGAGGAAGGAGCAATTGATTTTTTTGTATATTTTGGTATATTAAAATTGTTATGCCAAAATTACATAAATAAATTGTTATTACCGGAAATGTACTTTAGAAAGCTTCTAGGGTCTTTCCGTCTTTTTAATTAACTGATGCTTGATAGGTTGGTTAAACTATTTAGCAGATTGAGAATGCGCGGGATAAAATAATATAGTTATTGCTTTGTTAATTCAATTAATAAAAGTTTATAGTCGACACAGCTTCTAGGCAAATTGGTATGAATGAGTGGTTTTACTCCGCAAATTTCTGAGCCATGTTTGGATGCTCTAAGAATTTCAGACAATTTAGCTATGAACTCTAAAAATTTCAGACAATTTAGCTATGAACTCTAAGAATTTTAGATAATTTAGCTATGAACTTTTGAACTTAATATAATTTTGCATACTTTTTCTCATAGAATATGATTTCCAAATTTTTAAAAAACGCGCTACCAAAAAAAAATGATTTTTAAAAGTTGAAAAAATAAACAAACATTGTCGCTTAACATAAATACGCATTTTTATAGAAATTTATGTTGGGGCAGGTGTGACCCTCCTAACTCAACAGTTACGGAGTTACGAGGCCTGATGACATAAGTTTCAGGAGTTTTTTTAAAAAAAATTGTAACAAATAGGACACATTTAGTAAAATTTATTTAATATTTTAAATATTATAATTAATTATTATATATATAATTTATTTTATATAATTTTTTTTAAAAAAAATATAAATAGCCAAATTTGCGAATCAAAAAATCAATCCACATGGTAAATAAAAAAAAATTTTGTTGAAATGAAAAAGAAATATAAAAATAAGAAAAATTGAATATTTTTTTAGAGTTAAGTTATAACTGTTTCACCTTTTTATTTTCTATATATATATGAAATTTTGACTGATATTAAATTGAAATTGGTAATATAATTATTATCTAAATTTTACATTTATTATACGCTTTTATATTTATATATATATATAATATGTCGTAAATTTAAGACAAATTGCATTTCTTAAAGACATTTTTTTAGCAAATTTTTTTCCGCTAAATAAGCCGTAAATATATTTGATATTATAGTGTTATAACCGGTGTTGTTAGACGTCTCGTTTTGAGCCGATTTTTAAAAAAAGGCTAAACTCAATTAGCCAGAAAAATATTCCCTAAAAAGCCTCTAGATTTTGCTAAAAGATGTCGAAACCTTTGTTCCTTCTGCAAACAAAATCTTCAGACTTGCGTAATATTTATCTTTAGCCGTTTTTTTAAAAAAAATCAGCTCAAAACGAGCCGTTTTACAACACTAAGTTATATAAGAGTAATAATAATAATAATAATAAATTAATTTGGCGGTTTATAATGTGAACAAAATATAATTTACAGATTAAATAAAGATTATTATTTAACTCCTTTTTCAAGAAAAATATGATATTATGCATAGAATTATAGAATATTTAAGGTAAAAATATATAAAATAAAAGCATATATAGTTATCCAAATTTCTAAGAAAGTTATTTATTTTCTAAAAAAAATAAAAGGTTTTTTTTTTGACTTTAATCGATTTTGTAAAGAAACATTTTTAACAAAATAATAAAAAATACCATTGCTTATAATAGAATTTTGAATATAGAAATTATAAGAATTATTTTTAAAAAAATTTGATATTTTTTGCTAAATCTCCTTCTTCTTCTTCCAATCATTCCCAGTGCCAATGCAATTAATTAAAAATGACTATAGGAGTGTTAGATTTATAAAAAATTAAAATATTCGTGAAGTCGAGGTTGAGTGAAAAATATTACAAATAATTAGTATTTTTTTTTTAAATTAAAAAAAAATTAGAATAATTATTTTTATTATTTATATATTTTGTTTCCGGCGTCTCATGAACCAAATGCACCCCCCTATTGTGAGAGCGCAACAGAGCAGAATTCCGATGACGATAGCCGCTATTATACCGGCGCCTATCTTCAGGGCTTTTTTGGTTGCTGGGTAAAAATTAAAAAAGAATTAAAACGGTTTTTAATATTTATTATAATCAATTCTTGAGATAATATATTTGATCAAGATTATTTTCGGGAAGAGCACGTTATTAATATTCCTATCTTACTAGTGTTGTGTTGTATTAGAGAGAAAAAAGCGACAACCCAAAAAACAAGGGGTTTATTTAAAACTAAATAAGAACCGATAAACCGGTTTTAACCGTTATTTTTATCCGAACCCGAACCCGAACCGATATTTATTTCGGTTAGACTAATAATAAGAACACACACATAACAAATCAAATTAATTGAATAATAATATGTGTAATTTCATAATTTCGAAAGTCAGAAAATATAAAGTTTTACAAATTTTAAATATTTTAATATGCGCAGAAATATTTTATGCGCAGAAATATTTTATTTCATCTATCCCTTAGATCGATGACGTAATAATAATATACCTAGACTGACGATGCATTTATAATAAATGCATTAGAAAGCGTTGTTGAATACAAATCAGCTGGAGACGCCATTTTTTTGGTAACCCAGACAGTAATTATTCTCATGTTTGAGAACTTACTATTTAGATTGCTAACTTGTTAGTTCCCTTAATTATCTCGATGATCAGGAGAATTCTTCAATAAAGTTTGCGTTTCAGACGTAGGAATAAATTGGCCCCCTCTCGTTTAAAAATTTTAAAACGGGTAACCAAGATGGCGTCCCCAGCTGTTTTTCATTGATGTAATACACTTTTAACGAATGCGTCGTCAGTCTAGGTATTATTATATGCCATTGCCCTAACCTTTCTGACATCTCTTACTTAATTTCTACTTTTTTTTCGCTACTTCGATATTTTGTTTTTGGTGATAAGCATTTGTTACAAACCTTGCAAATCTTATTTCCTGTATTAAATTTATTCATTCATTCATTCATTCGTTAACGGAAGCGCGGAAGAAAAATAAATTCTTCTAAAAGTAAAAAATAAATAAAGTAAATAATACAATGGGCCGAGCAATCTCTTTCGTCGGAAGCGTCAACGCAATGCGCCACTCCATCGCAACGTAAATCGCCATCTATACAATTTTGGTCACTTTTGCATCTGAATCCGGTGCAGATAGCTTTGAAATAATATTTTTTTAGGTTAGAACAGCTGGGAAACATTTTTGACCTTTAAATATTGAGCAAGTTTCTTTTTATAAAAAAAAAAAAATTTAAAGACTCCAAAATTGTATTACCTCCAATGTTTTTAGAATATAAATTTTTGATGAACACATCAAGTAACCTTAAGAAATTATTTAGGTTTAACATATGGTAGAAAATATGAGTGATACCTGTCGGATGCTAAATTCTCCTATGAGTGTTAGAAATTAATTTTTTTTTTCATTTATATCTAAAAATGAATAAGAAGCCTCCATGCATTTCAAAATTATCGTTAAGTGATGAAACATAAATTTAGAGATATACATATATAAAGGGTGTATAATAAAAGGAATAGGTGTAACGCCAGGTCTCTAAAATGATGAAGATTCCGAGATTAAATAAATCGCGGGAATATTTTCCGAGCCGAAAATTCGGGAAATATTTTAGAGCCACTTATAAGGAATATATTTATTAATTAAAGAATAATTATTTTTTTTATATTGATTAATTGAGGGGTTATGTCTTCATCAATCATATATATATTTATCTCATATATAAGAAAGAGAGAAAGAGAGAGAGAGAGAGAGAGAGAGAAGAAGAGAAAGAAAGAAAGAAAGAAAGAAAGAAAGAAAGAAAGAAAGAAAGAAAGAAAGAAAGAAAGAAAGAAAGAAAGAAAGAAAGAAAGAAAGAAAGAAAGAAAGAAAGAAAGAAAGAAAGAAAGGAAGGAAGAAAATGTTGAGAGAATAGATATAAAAAATAGACGAATATCTTAGAAGATATAAACTTGAAATATAAAGTTCCAAACAATAATCAATCCCAACCTCAGATCTTTATAAGAATAAAAGAAAAAAAAAGTTTTAATACCTCTTTTAGATGCTGAAGTTAGCACAGCATTGAACCCCTTGCCGGGACCGCTTGCCATCCCGGTTAACTCCGCCACCAATTTATTGGGTTTGAATAAGGTAGGTTGCGGTATTGGAGAATTGCAAGTCAAATCGATCTGATTAGAAATAATACAGATGTTTATTAGCAATAATAGAACTCATTTATTCATTGATTTGGGGAAAAATTTACAAATGAAAACCACGATATCCGCTTTAGAGGTATGATTTTTAGAATTTATGTAAACCTGAGCCGGACATATATTATAAAAAACCGGGTGCGGACCGGGTTGACCAGGAGAGAATTGACCAACGCTAAAGATTCGCGACCTGTAACTACTTCGTATCTTTACAACGTACTCTAATATTTTATGCCATTAAGGATAAGGCGTGAGTGATACGAATACTCGCATTCGCGTCAGTTCTAACTGATACCGGGAAAGGGGCGACGGGCGGGCGGGTAAATTTTACGGGCGGTTTTATCGTGTTCGTAAGACCTCTTTCATTTGGATTATGAATTATTACGCACTATTTTTTAAATTAAAGCGTCTATCCACCCCCCCCCCTCCAAGAAGAAGAGGGGCTTATAAAATCAATCAATTCAAAGTAGATGAAAAAATTTTTTTTATATCAACTTAATCAATTTTTACTAAATCGGTTCTCTAATTTTAATTGGGTGAAAGTCAAGGAATATTTTGATTGACGCGAAGAACAAAATGACAAGATCGGCCCGAGATTAGACAACACCTAATAAACTAACGAATCACGTTGTTCTATTAGGACCTCCCGGTCTAAACATTCCCCCCCCCCTCCAATCATTTTTAGGAATGTAAAATGAAAAAATAATAAAAATTAGATTCTATTACGGCCTTAGATGGATCGTCTTCGTTGAATATCCTAAGCCTAGTACCGCAATCTTGAATATCGTAATTGAGGAATTTAACCAGGAACGATTGATCGTAATTGTCCGTTTTGAATTTCATTCTGCAAGCCTTCCTCTTGCTACTGGGAGCGTAAAAGATCTCAGCGCCGTCTATTTCGTGGTACTTATCCTTGCAAGCGTCGTCCGAACTCATATCAACTGTTTTCATAGAGTAAATAATGATATATATATATATATAAGCATTAGCTCTATTAAATATAGAGCGGGGTTTAGAGTTCTGTACATCGAATCAGATGAAGGATTGAAATAAAAAAATGGCTTACAATATTTTGCCCTAATACCTACTACCTGCATCCCATAAATTAGATTTTCTAATCAATCTTGCTAGACCGACGATATAGAAGAGTCTGATAGCAAAAAAATCTCTCTTTTGTTTCTACCGTTTAGAGAACGAACAGAACTTTTAAACACGAGAATGTACTAATTTTAACAGCAAAACTCGTTAGAACCCCCCCCCCCTCCCCCAGATAAAACACCAGGAGCTGAGCTCATCCAGTAAATACCCGATTACGTTTATTGGACTAAGAGGCTACCACCTTCTAAGATGAAGCAGCTGATTTGCCACTTACAATGTTGAGGGAGGGTCCTTGCTTTTCCTGTATAAACCTACCAAGGTTATATCTATGGAAGAGCAGTGGGAGCTCGTATAAATAGTCTATTTAAAGAAGAGCTTTATTTTTATTATTATTTACCATCTTGGTGCAGTGACGTCACTAACCCTTCAGAATCATCAGGGGGGAGGGGGGGGGGTTCTTGAACCCTGTTCGCTCCCCGCCCCCTCCCTAGTGATGCTACTGTCTAGGCGTTTCAAAATTACGTTATCGTCCATCCTGCATTTTTTGTTCATTATCATAGATTAGGCCCATATAAAAACGGATATACCAATCAAATGAGTGCAACTATCCGTGTATTCGATATTAATTCATATTAATCGAATTATTTTTTCGAATATTCGTATTATTTGAACTATTCGTTTACTATTCGATTAATCAAATATTCGATTCGTTTATGAATGGGTCAGGTCGATCAAGGTTATCTTTAAAATTTGGGATAATGTCGATCAATCAATAGCCATTTGTTAACCGGCAGGAGAACCCAGCATCGAACCCCCCAGCTGGAAAAGCTAATGGCGATTCCTTGATCACGGGCCTCCAGAGTCCGAGCCAAACCTGCCACTCTAACCTTCGACGCTATACCATCATTTCGTTAAACCCTAAAATTTATGTGGGCCCTCGACTTAAAGGAAATAAAAAATAAAAATTTTTATTTGCCTATTTTGTTGTCCTAAATCGAATTATTTATAATTCGTCATGTCAAATAATTAATAAACTTTTTTTTTATATGCGTAGTGTAATATAGAGATCCGCGAAAGTAGGCCCAGCCCGCACTAGTGTAATACAAGTCTTAAGACATTTTCGAGATATTGTATAAAAAGAAAGAAAGAAAGAAAGAAAGAAAGAAAGAAAGAAAGAAAGAAAGAAAGAAAGAAAGAAAGAAAGAAAGAAAGAAAGAAAGAAAGAAAGAAAGAAAGAAAGAAAGAAAGAAAGAAAGAAAGAAAGAAAGAAAGAAAGAAAGAAAGAAAGAAAGAAAGAAAGAAAGAAAGGAAAGGAAGAAAGAAAGAAAGAAAGAAAGAAAGAAAGAAAGAAAGAAAGAAAGAAAGAAAGAAAGAAAGAAAGAAAGAAAGAAAGAAAGAAAGAAAGAAAGAAAGAAAGAAAGAAAGAAAGAAAGAAAGAAAGAAAGAAAGAAAGAAAGAAAGAAAGAAAGAAAGAAAGAAAGAAAGAAAGAAAGAAAGAAAGAAAGAAAGAAAGAAAGAAAGAAAGAAAGAAAGAAAGAAAGAAAGAAAGAAAGAAAGAAAGAAAGAAAGAAAGAAAGAAAGAAAGAAAGAAAGAAAGAAAGAAAGAAAGAAAGAAAGAAAGAAAGAAAGAAAGAAAGAAAGAAAGAAAGAAAGAAAGAAAGAAAGAAAGAAAGAAAGAAAGAAAGAAAGAAAGAAAGAAAGAAAGAAAGAAAGAAAGAAAGAAAGAAAGAAAGAAAGAAATGAAAGAAAAGAAAGAAATGAAAGAAAGTTTTTAAAAAACAGCTGACTCAGTATTTTAGCCAGAAGAATATTGCCTAAAGCCACGAAATTTAGCTGGTAGATGCCCAAACCTTAGTTCCTTCTACAAGCAAAAATCTTCAGGGTTGCCTGATATTATTCTGGATGAAATATTAAGTTGGCCGTTTATCAACACTAGCGATGAGCGTATTGATAAGAAAATGGTTGTAAGTTAGTCGCTACAGAATTACTAATATCGATAATGTTCTCCAACAAAAAATTCATATATTCATTTTTTTTAGCGTTTATCAATTCTCCTTAAATTCCAACTTTTTCGGGATCCTTTTCCTCGTGGAAGGATTTTACCAGTCGACTAGAAGCACGGTTCTGGCCTCTAAGAAATTTTTAAAAAGAATCATCATGGGGGGGGGGGACTTAGGCTTTTTTAGGACTAATTTGCGAGTAAAAGTTTCGACAAATTATAATTATACATTTATGAAAATTAAAACAAAAACAAAAAAAATTTTCAGTTATAAATTCGTTAATATTTTAAAGCGTAGGCTTTAAGCGAAGGGCTAAGACCACCCCCCCCCTTTTTAAAATTCTACTTGTTTCCATAAATATCGATATAAGTTAATCAAACATCCCATTCTCCCACATCCCCCCCCCCTTTTTACCCGCCAAAAAAAATATGTCGCTATAGTATGTATAAATCGGCATTTAGAAAGAAAAACAGGTTAAAAATGTTTAGTAATTTTTAGCAAAATCTTGAACTACTCTTTATGGTGCTGCATGGAAAATACAGATAAATCGTGTGAATAAATATAAATTTAATCAAGGAAATTCGCCTGGGTTAAAAAAAATACAGATAAATCATGATGTTGAAACTTAGAATTTTAAAATTAATTCAGATGCGCCATGTTACAATCAAATTTTCAAAGCGCGTTTTCTGCATGATCCAAGAACATATTAGTGTTGCTATCTTTGACCATCTCTATTGTGTATTGGTCAAGCTTTTAGCCTAAAATTGAAGATTGATTAGAATATCTGTGGATAAAAAATATGGATAAGTTGTCTAATAGTAGTTGACTAGAGATAAACAACATTAACATAGAACAAATATAATCGTTAGGTACCCTCTAACCGGTTTAAATATAGAATTATCATTAGAAATTTTTTTTTAAAAAAAACGCACTGAATATAGCTTCTCCCCAAAACACTTAGCAAAAATCTTGAACTAACGTTTAGGGGTTAGCAGGGTTAAAATATAGATTTAAATCCTGGCTAATAATTGGATTCCCCTTCCTGGAGGCTTCATCCAAATTAAAAAAAATAAATAGAATGTCTTTTTACAAAAAACAAGGATTTAGTCATCGGTCTAAAAATTGCCAACCATTGTTGAAGGGCTAACCTAGATTGAGGCATTCATTCATTAATTTTAAAACCAATATACAATAATTCTCCATTTTGAAATAATGGAAATTTTTCCCCCAAAACATTAAATCATTTTGCGTGAAGCCAGCAAATGCCAAATGGACGATAAATTGTGTGGAAGAGTAGATCTGAGAGCTTAAGGCTCTGAAAGTGGCGGATCTGTATTTTGGCCAATAGAGGTTCTAAACCCTTGTTGACGTTCTTACGAGCAAAAGCTCCAAGATTAAAATAAATGCTTATTTTGGCTAAAAAAAAAATTTTATCGGGCTTTTTAACCACCCCTCCCCCCCTCCACTCCCCACATATAGAAGAGCTGAGTAGTGACATGTGTTGGTACGAATCATCTCATTCTTTTAGAACCTTCGTGGTTATACGCGATGGTGGTTCGTTGTCTTTTAACAAATTATGCGTTTACTTTTATCATTTTTAAGATAGAAATTTTCACGATGATAGCTAGGGGTCTTATAATTAAAATTAGGGTCGAGTTGAGAAACCTAGAAATAGGTCTCAAAATAAGCCGCAACCGATTAGCCGAGGTTTACCTAAAAGAAAATCGATATTCGCTAGGGGGTTTTCTATCCAAGTGGACATTTTTATTTTTGGATCCGAAATTTAAGTTCCTGGTGGATAAATTTTTGAATATCGAGCACAGATTTTTTTTAAAAAAATCGTTCTTTCCTTTTTAGGGGCAGTTATAGCGCCGGTTAGAAAAATTCGATTTATGGCTAGATTCCATTTATCTTAATAAATCTTAACTGAATGCAGCCAACACATTTAAATATAAACTCTTTTAAGATTATTGAGCAATCAAAAGCCGGGACTTCTACCTTTACAAGATCCCAATCATCCAATCAAAATCTTTTTAAATTATTTTTTTTTACAATTTTATATATATTTGCATGCAATTTATATACTAAATTCCCCCCCCCCCTACCTCCCAATTTACATTGCTACATACACACTCATCTTACCAACAGGATAAGAATTTGCTTTAAAAATAAAAAAAATTTCTTTATTTTATATATAAAATAATATATAAAATATCCTTGACATACATTATATAATAATAATATAATATAATTAATAATAAAAATATAATATCCAATTAAAGCCTGAAAAAAGTTGTGGGGGGGGGGGGGTTAAGGGAATAGAAAATAATCTTTATTTATTGTTATTTAAAATTATAGAGTAAATATAGTAAAAAATTAAGATATAACCAGATATAAACAGTATATAAGCTGCCAATGTGTTTTTTTTTATCCCGGGAATTCACCAGAAATGGATTTCCAGCATGTTTGGAATATACCTAAACTCTACGGAATTTCGGACAATTTTTTGTGATATTCCCATAAAGGTTTAACAAACAAAATAGTTCTACAATTTATAAGATAGGTACTCCGAACATGATAGAAAATATTTTCCAGTAAAATCAGATCTAAAGTTGTAAAAAGAACACATTGAATTTCTAACATACATGCTTACTCGCCAATTTTTTAAAAAAATATATATTTTCAAGATTTCCATCAATATTTTTTGCGAAATAAATCCGAATTTTCCAGAAAATCCGCTCCCGATAAGAATTGTGACAGTGATGGACACTTACAAAAAGAGAATACAATTAAAACCTTATTTTGAATAACCAATCTTTTATGGGTTTTATATGCGCATTTTC